GTCTGTCCTGAATTGGAGACCGGTCCTGACTCGGAGACCGGCCTTGACTCCTCTGAGTCAGTACTGATCTCTGAGCAGACGAAGCTTAGAGGCCTAACTAAGCTTGGACTAGACACAACATTTAGTCCACTCTTAGTGGGTTCTTGCCTCTCTACTACATCCGAATCGTCTGCACAACAGGTAGCCTGTTTGATGCACCTCCATGCCTTTTGAAGAAAGTTTTCTTGAAAATGGATTTTCCTCGGTCTTGCTAGGGTTCTGCGAAAGGACTGTACAACCTTGTAAATAACTACAGGGTTGTCACTTTTTATCATTTTGAAGAGAAATTCCCTCACTACATCGTCATTTCCACAGAGAAGTTGAAAGATATCGCGGGAGAGTTTTTTTTCCATGTTCTCAAAAAAGACAAAATTTATGTCTTTTACTTCCTTCCAGATTATTGGTGCAAGCTTTCTCTGGACTGGTTCGGTGTGTTTCCTTTTGTAGCCCGCGTAGCTTGATCTGTTACTAGATTTATAAATTAATCTCCAAAGAATTTGTTGCACCATAACTCTCCTTTCGGTTTTGGTTCCACGTGTGAAACCCATCTTGTTTGCTTCCCTTAAAAATTGTTCAGGATCCATGGTTTCCTGACTATAATCCTCACTCAGACAGTTTTTATCTGAGTACAAGTCCTCATTTGGAAAAAAAGTCCTTCTGATCTTCCTTTTTGTAGACGTGAACATTTTCTTTGGAGGAACAGGATTCTCCAGGTGCCGTTTGAATTTTTCAACAATTACTTCGTGTCCTTCCGGGTAATCGAGTAGTACAATTAAATGCAGTCCACTGGCAAAGTGGAATGCATCTCTAGCAATACTCTGGAAAATTCTTTCACTTAGCTCTTCTGACACCTCCGAGAGTACTTCCACATTTAATTCTCCAGTTTTTATCAACAGCAAGACCAAAATTTTGCTGTGTTGTTCCCCAAAGATTTCTCTGACAAGGTGCAGAGTTGGTCCATCTGCAGCCTTTTCAATCACTTTCCACAGCAGATCGCTGAGAAAGTTTTTCTTCTTGTAGTCTGGGCTTCTTTGAACTGGATGAACTTTGTTGGAAAACGTTTTCTTCACTTTTGTCCAAAAAGAAACCTCAGGCTTCACATCCATTTCCCTCTGTGGGCTTTCGTCAGTCATTTTTATTGAGCTCAGCTAAAACTTCCAAATGAATCTTGTGTTGACTGGTTTGTGTCGCCTGATCGGAGAATTAACTGATCAGTTGGTTATGTCATGGATTCTATGACATCATAAAGGGCCTCATGACACAGACATCAGTTGAAGTCATGCTGATGACATCATTGTCAGCAGCATGGCAACTGCTGCTGACAATGATGTCATCAGCAGTTAACAGGAGGGGCCAGGGAACCATTGGCCCCTCCACTTTACCGCTCTACCCATTTTTATTTGTTATTTGGGTTCCATCTCCTAACAGACATAGGGCAAAGTGTCAATGGAACCACAACACGACCTGGTGGGCCGGTCTATCAGTCAAACCTCTTGTGATGCCCACTGGTGTGTGCCAGTGAAAAGAAGAGCATGCATTTCTTTAAATGTTTGTGGGGTCATGATAAGAAGATATTTTATTTGTTAACAGGGGTTAATGAGGATGGGTCCAGTAACGGTGTTTCACTGGTAGGTGGTGCATGGAGACTCTGAGCTGCCTGTTGCTCTGCTGTTTCTCATAAGCTGAGAGAAATTGGAGTAACACAGACTGTGTCTCCCGTGTGCTCATTTCCATGCTGTTTTTCAGCTTCATCCTCTGCTGCTTACGGGTCCAGAACCCTGGTATCCGCTACACTCTCACAGGAGAGCAGGAGAGGACAGTGGTTGATTTTTAGATCTTTGCTGAGGTAGATGAGTTCAGTGGATAAAATCAGCTACAGATGTATCAGCGGATCACCAATCTTTGAAATTAAGAAAATCGGGGAAGATTGATTGGTGCACCCCTAACATACATAAGTAGCCTACACAAATATTTTCTTGTGAAAATAAAAACACACTGACTTTTATATATTTGTGAAAATAAAGTCACCATGACGTGACTTTGTTTGAGACAGATGATCTGTGAAAATATCAATCTCCTCCACAGATTATCTCTCATGCAATACTGTCATGACACACTGACAGTTTCAACAAATATGTAAAAAAAAATATTTATCATTAAAGTTAGATAGTTCAACATTAAACATTATTGGAAAGAGACAGATAAAAAAAACGTGTATGTTCTAGAAAAAAAACACATTATAAATTAAAATTAAAGGTTTACCAGGTTGAGTAAAACAAAAACAAATGCACACACCTATTACAAAGATGTGTAATTGCTTGGCAGGTAAAGTTCAGGAATGTCTGGACGCAGCTGTTGAAGAGAGAAAACAAAATGTCCATATAAAGAGACAATATAAACACCAAAAAATGCAAGTCTTCCAATAATTAAATGAAATCAACAGAAAAGTACTATTTACAGTAGGTAGTTTTTAAGATAAGCTACAAGTAACCCATAATATGAGGTTGCAAGCAGACATATTAGTAAAAACTTCCAATTGCAAGAAAAAAAATATTTTGCACACATCAGGTTTTTTTATCCTCAGTAATGTTTATTCCTTTTTTTTTCCTATTTCAGAAAAAGGAAAATTAGCTATATGTATGTACAATCCACTGACTTACAACATGACACAAGAAGCTTCTGACTCACTGTAACAGTTTATAAACTTGAAGTCCTATTTACCAAATGTGGCATTTTTTAAAAGTCTCACCACTTCGAAGTACATTAATGTGTTATGAGGTTTGTCTTGATTAAGTCTTCAAACTATGGCTTGTGAATTCTCTTTTGTGGCGACCATGTTGCAAGTTTTGAACATCTGGATACCTTGCAGTTTGTTTTGTTTAATGAGAGTATTTTTAATCACATCATGCCCAGTTAATTTGCCTTATTTTGTATAATTTCCAATGAAAGTGTTCTTCTTGGGACTGCACTGTGGAACAGTTGTTAGCATTGTTGCTTTGCAGCAAGAACATCCTGGGTTTGATTGCTTGCTGCGATATTTCTCCCTGAACATGCATGGGTTCTCTCCAGATATTTCAGCTTTATCCCGCAGATCAAAGGCATACATGGAAGATTAACTGACCGCTCCAGGCCTGAGGCCTGAGTGTGCAGGTATATGGGTGTTTGATATGTATTTCTGTCGACCTGTGATGCAAATATCCAGGTTGTATGCTGCCCCTTGTCCATTCACCATTTATTTGGAGACCTAAATAACCCTGCAAAGATAAAAGAAAGGACAGAGAACAAGCAGAAAGGTGTTTCATTTTCTACTGCTCTCTTCACTGGCACTACATTTAAATGTCTTGGGATCTGTAACCTTTTATTGTCAGTTAATTTGTTATTTTGTCATACTGCTGAAAAAGTTAAAAATGATTATCACTCTTCTGTCAAATTTTTCTGACACTCTTAAAGTAAAGGACTATTTAAGAAATTCCTTAATTAACAGTTGCAAAATCAATGTGTTATGTGCTGGCTGATTTATAATTTCCAGCGAGGATGCAGCATCGCTGCATCCTGTAGCTATTTGTGTATTAAAGAACTCAGTTTGATCAATAAGTATTTCTTATTTTGTGTTTGAGAGGTCTGAAATTGCTATGTAAAATAAACACAGCTAAGCTTGTTAAATTTGTATGTTTATGTTTGTAAATGTAACAATTTTTGCTATGTAAAATGTATTGTCTGATGTATAAAAAGTCTTGTGGAACATGTTGATGGACTACAGTTTATGACCATATAAAAAAAATAAAACACTCCACTATGTTTGCTTTCAAAGCCTTGTTTGTCTAAAACTGGGTGTGTAAATAGATCACTGACATGGCAATTCATGGACCATAAAGGGAAATGAATGGCGGTAATTATCCAGACATCATTTGATGGAGGACCTGGTCTATGTGTGTGCTACAGCAGCTCAACAGCAGAGGGACACATTTGTCTGTCTAACAAGTACCGCAGAAGTGTCTCCTAACACCTGAGTACCTACTTCATAGCACATTTGGCATGTCGTAAAATTTGCCAGTATTTGTAGTTCTGTAATAACAACTTTCTATTTATTGAACAGTAAAGTTTAATTTGTATTTGTCTCATTTGCAAAACAATTGTTTTCAAAAAAAAAAAAAAAACTTAGGTCTTCTATTAGGTGGTTTGGTTTTGGTCAACTTGGCCAGCAGATGCTTTAGGACAAACCACAATGCTATGTCCTCCACTAATTTCCCCTGTGTCTTGATTTTGGTAACTAATCTGGTAATACTGGTTTTAAGCATATTTTCAAAAAGTAGCAATATTGTGGAATTTGACCATCACCTGTGGTTTATGTTAAGCTTAGCGATTAGGTTTTTTCTATATGCATTGTTGTTTACTTCGTTGGAAGTGTAAGGCGATCCAGTTTAAAGCTCTTGAAAAGTATTTTGCAACATTGACAGGAAGTTATGACATCCTTTGTTCCAGCGAAGTTCCTCCTTCCTTCTCACCTGAAGGGGAAGCGTGGGGGAGGGGTAGTGACCATCATTTTGTTTTGATCAGCCGATAGATTTAAAATTAGACGACGTAACATATTTTTCATGTTACGTCGTCTTTTTTGTACACTGTTTATGTTTCTATATGTAAACATTGAAATCTTTTTGTAAGCAGCTTAACTCTGCAAAACACTAATCATCACATACAGGTTTTTATAACAATGGTTTAAATGGCAAAGATATCGGTTGTTTTCGTGTTTTTTCAATCCTGCAGCCACTTCTTGTATTGGATTTTTCTTCTGATAAAACTTGCGTTTGTTTGCAAACAAAGGGAAGCCACGTGGAGAACTGGAGCCTCTTGGGGAGTGTAGTTTTCTTGTCGGACAAGCCTACATCCCTGGAAGAAAAAGAGACTCAGCTTCCCAGGATGCATCAGTAAAATCTGCGTAGGCCCAGTGGAACGTTTTTTTTTTTCCTCTGACAAGTAGATGTATATAAAGGTTCTGTTTACAACTTGGTCAGATAGTTAGGAGTCTTTGTTTTTGTCTTCGAAACACGTCAAAATGTCCTGACTGTGTCGCAGCCAAGTTATTTTTTCACAACAGTTCGATGGAATATATGATAAGTTAGTGGCGAGCGTTTTTAAGATAGAGTTTTATTTTTTTTTCTAATATCCCCCCCCCCCTCCTTTGTTTTTCCTTTACTTGTGACAGAAGACAGAGGCCGCATCTGGAAACTTTATTTCACGGTAACGCTTTTGTCTTGTAAAACTGTATTATTTACAGACATTTGTTGTGAATGTTTCTCGCTTTGTTGTAATTGTTTATTTTTTTCTTTTCAAGAATCTAGCTAACTTGATCAGTTTGCTAAACCAGTAACGGTCGGGCGCGAGCCAGCTTTGCTTTGTTTAACCGATTGTTAGCTTATCTCTCCACGCAGCTGCACACTCTTTAATTAATTAACAGTAATAACATATTACAACCTTTTAATTGATTAAAAAAGTGATACATCCAGCTTTATATCAAAATAAAAACACAAATAGATACATAAGTTCAGATGGTTTTATTATTAGATCTCTGTTTGCTTTAGCCCAGTGTTTCTGTAAATGCCATGTTTTCTTTGTGTCCTCCGAAGTAAAGCTCATTCACACAGCAAATGTCAGACGCATCCTGGCTAAACCTGTATTGTAATCTTCCTGGCTGCAGTGACCCGCTGGACCGCTGCTGGCAAATAAGACACGTGAATGGGTTGAGTCCAAGTTAAAAATAACTAAAAATAACAAGGGATAAATGACCTCACTCGGACTTAGGCCTGTGTTGTTAGTTTTTGAAACAGGCAGTATAGCCCAAGGCATAATTTTTTTTTCTTTAAAGCTAATAAAGGCTTTTTCCAGAGGAGAAGAAAACATTTTGTCTTGGTTAAGAAATTTGTTTGGTCTATGTATTTGTACTTTTTTGTATTATTAAAAGTGACAATAGCAAAAGATTACTTATTTTTTATTTTAATGATGCAAAAAAGTTACTCAAGGTTATCTGTTGGCAGTCCGGACTCACTTAGTCAAGCGCTCATGAAATATTCTCTAATAGCATCCCTTATTATCAGTTTATTTCAAAACAACCCTGAATGGCATGTAGGTTGGCCTCTCCAACCGTTTCTCTGCCTCTTTGTCATCCTTGTCTCATGCAAGCAATTGTGCTCCAGGGCACAACTGTTTGCAGAGGTGATGCACACTAGAGGAAGTAAAGTGTATTTATTTGCCACCTGTACTTACCCAGTTGAAAACATCTATCTTTTTCCACAAGACTGAAGTATTTTTTTTTTCTTTTTGCTTATGCTCAGTTAACTTAGATTTTAATTAAATTCAACTTATTTATATAATGCCACTTTACTATGAATGTCATTTCATGGCAATTTACAAGACAAGCTTTCGTTTAATGTTGTACTTACCCAATTAGGGTAATATTTCTTCTTCCCTTGCCCCTTCCTTATTCTCCACTCTTTGGCCAAATCGACAACCACATGATGAATAATTCTGCGATACCTTTCATTTCATCTTTTTAGATTACCCAAAAGTTCAAGGAGCATTTCTGTTAAAAGTAGCAGCCATGGTGTTGTTGGCTCTGGGCAGGAGAACAAACAGCAGCACCTCAGACACCAAAGAATCGCCAGTTGTCAAACGCAAGGTACTAAGTCTTTTGATTTTAAGTATATTTTACGCTAGCCACAGTTTTTTAAAGATATTTATGAATGTAATTTTTTTCCTTAAGGTTTTGCCAGTTGAATACAAAGCAGGCGATGACTTTGACTTCTGCTCTGGTGCGTCACATTCGGAGGGAATCCTTCAGGTGTTCAATGAGTTCCGCGACTGCCGCCTTTTCACTGATGTGGTCATCAGCGTGCAGGGCCGCGAGTTTCCCTGCCACCGTGCTGTGCTCTGTGCCTGCTCTTCCTACTTCAAAGCCATGTTCTGCAATGATCACCGTGAGAGCAGGGAGATGCTGGTTGAAATCAACGGCATTGAGGCCAAGGCGATGGAGGCCTTCCTCAACTACGTTTACACTGGGCGTGCCAAGATCACCACCGAGAATGTCCAGTTTCTCTTTGAGACCTCCAACCTCTTCCAGATCACCACACTGCGGGATGCTTGTGCAAAGTTCCTAGAGAACCAGCTTGACCCATGCAACTGTGTTGGCATTCAGCGCTTTGCGGATGCTCACGCTCTCAAGCAGCTTGCTAGCCGCTGCAAAAATTACGCCTTGGCAAACTTCTCAGAAGTGTCAAACCACGAAGAGTTTCTTGACCTACGGCTTGAAGAGCTCAAAGACTACATTGGCAGAGAAGATTTGTTCGTCAGTAAGGAGGAGATAGTGTTTGAGGCAGTGATGAAATGGGTGTACCACAACGTGGACCAAAGGCGGCCCATGCTAAACAGTTTGCTGCAGCACGTTCGGCTGCCCCTGCTTCACCCCAATTACTTCGTCCAGACAGTGGAGGGAGACGAGCTCATCCAGAATGCTCCAGAGTGCTACCAGCTCCTCCATGAGGCCAGGCGCTACCACGTGCTAGGAAACGAAATGATGTCACCCAGAACTCGTCCACGCAGGTACTGAAAATGTTAGCATTCTTTGGTATGAGGAAGGTTTCAGGCAGCTTTAAATATGAAAGTCTGTGGAAGTAGTGTGATTTCAAATGACTAATCTTTCCTCAGAAAGGGATTTGTTTTTACATCTGTCTACTATTTATGTTTTTGTTTTACTTTGATGCCAAGTTGCTAATGAACTCTGCTCCTGGCTGCTGTGGTTGTGGTGTTGTTGTACATGCTTGTCAGAGACACAGACGGGGAGTGTTGTTGTGCTGAAGAGACAAGTCTGTCGCTCACTTGGCTTTGTTTTGTAGCAGTCTTGAAATGTAAATGATAGAGGGGAGTCAGGCATGTTCAAACATAGACAGATTTTAAAAAAAACAAACAAAAAAACATATGATGCAAGAAATAGCAATCAATTGAAAATGTCGAGTCTTGTTGTCAAACCACAGGTGAAGCTCACATCACGTTTTTTTTTTTCTTTTCTGTGTTCCTGTTCGTTCATCTCTCACCAATTTACTGGATTTTCATTTATTTTTGGTGGTTTGTTCTTTTGTTGCTGTAATGGTGTCCAGTTGAGCTCATTAATAAAGGACAAAGGCTAGAGCTGACTGATGCCTTCTAAACGTGAAACTAAAAATGAGCATATGGTGGGCTGTCCCCTAGCAAAGAGCAAGGCAGCTGCGTTTGAAATTTGAAACGCTGCAATGGTTAAAATGGGACCAGTTCCAGCTGTCAGTTATTAAGGCTGTGCAACATGTATTTCAGGTGCATTGTCGTAACACAGGCTGAGCTGTTCAAATCATCAAACCAGTCGAGCAGTTCATCCCTCTTATTGTGTTCTCCATTTGCCTAGAGGGCCAAAATGGTGGTCAAAACAGATCCTCTATTTTCTGGCTTTGTTTGTACACCAGAGCCTCTGCTTTCTTCAGAGGTGCCAGGGATATAATTGATCTGTTGTACACACACTCCAACAGATGTAGCTTAACCGCTTGTGTGCAACATTGTCTTTTAGTTGTGTGTCTGTGTGCATGTAGACAGCTAAGCACACAGCCAAAGCCCCTCAACACCTGCCAGTGCTGGGTCTGCTTTCTTTCACATGCTAAGGAAAAGCTGCAGCTCTGTATTCATCGCCCTAAGAACAAACGTTTGTGATCATGGAGATTCAGCTCAAAGTCTTCTTTCTAACCATGTCTTGTGCTGCTGCATGTCTATAATGATCTGACGCGAAGTTAATTATAAATCGTGCCTTTGACCAATGTGGATTTGTATGCAAACTTCCTTCACAGGGTGACAGAAGAGAGCATATTTAGTCTAGTTTGTCTGTTAAACTGATTGGAAAGCGTTAATCTTGTCTTTTTTTATTTGTTGTTGCTACTATATCTCATATTTTTATGCCTGACACCTACTCACTCTCCTCCGCACAGGTCGACTGGCTACTCAGAGGTGATTGTAGTGGTTGGGGGTTGTGAGCGAGTGGGGGGCTTCAACCTGCCCTACAACGATTGCTATGATCCAGTCACAGGGGAATGGAAATCCCTGTCGAAGCTGCCTGAGTTCACCAAGTCAGAGTACGCTGTCTGCGCCTTGCGCAATGACATCTTGGTGTCTGGTAAGATCATGTTGTATTTGTTACATTCTGTGTATTAGCAAAAAAAAAAAAAGTTCAAGTCTTAAAATCAAGCAATCTGAATTAGTCAAACAAAAATGGAAGGTCAACAGTTCTGGTGTCAGTCCGGTGGGTTGGTCAATAGGATCTCTGTATTTACTTACCTACTCTTAACCTTTTACCTATGCCATTGATCTGGAAACACATGCTGCGAAAGGAAACTCCTTAATGAAAGCGGATATTATTGAAAATCATTTTTATTTAAGCAGTTGTGACAGTGACATGTCCGACTTCGCTGTAAATAGATGCCTTGTAGCAGACATTAGCATACTATTGTATCCTTTTTTTTTTCTTTCCTGCTTTGTTGAGGATGATTAACTACCAATAAGTATTTGCAATGAAGAAAATACTTTTCCATATTTATGTGCTAGGGAAGTTAATATTCCTTCTTTCAAGTATCTTCTGTAAAAACTAGTCAAAGTCAAGTTCATCTTAATTATTTAGAAGGAAAATGTTATTCCAAAAAAATAAATAAATCATTAGTACACACCTTTAAAGTTAGTGCTCATCTTTCTTACCGTCCAGTATTTTTAATATTGGCAAGAAAGCCTATGATCAATTTTCCCCTCTGTCATTTTTTTTAAGCCTGGGTATCTATTATTGAAAACATCTGGCTGAATTCTCAGTTCAGTACACGGAGACGCCTTTATTTGTCAGCTAACTCTTCTGATTTAGTTAATCTCCGTTGTAACAGATTTCATAGAGCTGGATGTAGAACACATTCTAGGAACACTTATTGTCTTCTAAAGATTTTACTGTGAAGAGCTTTGAAAAAGAAATCAGAACCTTATATATTACATCTGTCATGGCCTCCTGGAAACTGCTTCGTTTTTTAAATTAACTGTGTGCCAAGAGAGCACTAAGTCTCCTCTGAGAGAGAGAAAAAAATAAGACCTAGATTATGCAAGACATTTCTATGACCTAATTTATTTTAACAAATGAATACAGATTGTTGTTCAGTTTAAGGGACTTAGGTTCTGATTCCAGGTTGCAGCCTGTAGAGTAGCTGCAAATTGTTTAAGGGTTGATGCGCATGTTTCCTTTCGTCAAATTATTGTAAAGAAAATTCTATTACGGAAAGTATGGAGAGCCCATAGGTACTGGTTGTGTTTAGACATGCTCTAAAGAAACTGTTAACATTCATGCAGATTAACTGCTGAGTAGCGTAAGAAGAAAGAGGAAAAACAAGTCAAAAGAGAGGGAAAAAAAAAGAAAAGTGTCCCCCTCAGCAAAGAGTCTGCTTTATTCTGCACATGTGCCAAGTCCTCACATGAGTTATAAATCTGCTCTCGTGCGCTGCTTAAAAACATACATTGCTCATCCCCCACAGTTTTATGCCCAACACATACAATACATAAGCGTTACTTGTTTATATAGTCTTATGATCCTCACTGCCCCTTTTTTTTTTTTCATTGTTAAGCATTTGATCTTTTTTTATGACTGATTGTATTTTTGTCCTCTATACTTTTGACAGCACTGGTGTGCTGCATTCCTCCTGCCTGTGTCTGTCCCTTTTCACACAGGAAACTGGTACAAGCACAGGCCTTCCAGCCTGTACCCAAGCACAGCTGCAGCCTGTAAACTGCAGAAGTACAAAAAGTATTGTTTCAGTGTCCACTGACAGGAAGCGTGCCAATGTATGGATAAAAGTTCATTAAACTGTTTCCTGTCATATAGATGAGCATTATATGGTGGACAAAACCTAAACGAACCTCATACATTGTTGCAAGTTGCAGCTGAAACAAAGCTGGAATAAAAAGCAAATGATGACATTTATTCCGTTACAAATGTTATTAGAACATTCAGGTTTTGGCTTGTTATTTAAAACATCATCTTTCTAAATCCCCTTTTTTCTCTTTTAAGAAACTCGTCTTCCACTGACATGTTCCATCTTACAAATTTCTAATTGAGGCCTCAAGGGCAACAGACTGTCTGGCTCTTTAAGTATCCGGCGGGTTATTAAGTAGGCACATGCTGGGTCTAACTTGCTCTGCAGATCTTTATCTGTCTTTTTGCTTACTTTGAAGTGACTGAATAGAGTTTCTTCATTATCAAATAAACAATATAGAGTGTACGTATGCAGTCAGAAATTTTGACAATTGGAAAGGCCTGAAAATAATGGAATGCATTGAGAATATCTAATGTGTAATATGTAGTGCTTCTCTGTGATGAGTAGTGAGAGGTTTATTGTGAGATTTCAGGCACATGTTGGCGCTTGTTGAATGCGTGCCTGTGATACAATAACATACTTATCATTGTTCTTTTTTTATCTCAAACAAAACCAATTTTTTTTTATTACTTGTTTTTTTTTTTTTTTGTACAAGCCTATGGAATGACTCCGTTCTAAACTTACCCTTTGTGTTCTCACTCAATAGAATTGAAATGTGTTTTGCTGCTCTAGCAGTCAGTTAACAATTTTAGGTGAAGATATGCATATATCATATATTTAAAATAACACATGGCAGTTGGTAAACTTTGCATATGTGTCTGGCTAACAGATTCTCTTTGTTTCTGCCCTTTTTTCCACATAAAGTTGTCAAGTTTGTAACAATAATGTTGTATTGCATTCGCAGGAGGACGCATTAACAGCAGGGATGTGTGGCTGTACAACTCCCAGCTCAACCTTTGGATCAAAGTGGCTTCTCTTGTCAAAGGCCGCTGGAGACACAAGATGGGTGTCCTGCTGGGCAAGGTATTAAAAAAAATGTAAATCCTTATGTTTCAAATGGGGTTTTTAACTCTTTTTTTTTTTGTAGACATCCCAGCTTCATATTTTAACTGCTGCTTGAACCACAGCAGTGCCAGGCTTGTCGCCGGCTGAAGTTGCGTAGTTGCGTAATTCTCACTGCTGGGGATGTTTTGTACGAGATCCAGCAAACTTAAATACTTCAGTCTGGCTTTTGGGTTAAACAGTTTGGATCATGATGCAAAGCATCTGCTGTGGGTGCCTGGGGTTTATTTGCACCGTATAGAAGATGGTGTTTCTTTGCATGCAAACTATCTGGATGGCTGCAAGATTTGTATGACACTTAATAGTAGAGTAAGTAGGTGTTACGGCGAGACTGTAATCCTTGTTTACAAAAACTCTGGTGAAGGATTCTTTAGAAAAATTGGAGGGGAGGGCAAAGTGCTCGTCATTGTTTACTCAAAATGAATGATTCGGTCTGGTGTAGGTGTTATTGAGAAATTCTGAAGAACTTGGTAAGGTAAAGAGTATGAGGATGTTCAGGCACATAATGGAACTGCTTTCGTTTCTTATCTTACAATAGTAAATTAATTACTTAGTGGCTGACGTGCTGGTCTTTTGCATACCTTGCATACAAAGTGATGACTCACTAATGTTAGATGTTCATAGTACTTTTTTTTTAAAAATCACACTTACACTAGAAATTTTCGATTAGAAATGTTTATCTCGTCTATGTCAGTTGTCAGATATGAAAACAGATGGATTGGAGTAGATTAAGTTGCGGCTTCATTCTGGACAGGTGGACATTCTTCTCTGAGGGCAGTGTGAGTTCAGCCGATGAGGGCCAGCACTTCATGCTTCCAAGTTAAGAACAAGCTGAATTTCCGTCTCTGCACTAGCCATAGACAGCGGGCAAAGCAGTTGACAAATGCTGACACATAAAATCACAGCATTAGACTACATTTCAGACCATATAAAGCATGTGATACAATGTTTATGTAGGAAAATAAATTTGTCCTACAAGAGGGGAAACTGGACAGACTAGACAGTGGTATCCAAATATAGCACAAATGACTTATGGCTTAAATATCTCACGCATGTTTTTGTTAATAATGTGTAAAAAGAAGTGCTAAATAATTATAATAGTCATGTAATAAATAAATCAGCGTAGCTTAACTTGCACATAATGTACAGTGTTAATTTAAAACTAAAGATCTTTTATTGACAAACATGTACATGTTTAAGCACAAACATGCTGAGCGTGGATAAACGCAGGTTATTCCTGGAAAGTTTCAGCCTCAAACTGAACTCTGATTGATTTAAAGAATCATGCCTCAAGGAGATTTGACCTGCACCCAAAATTCCTAATTGTTTTATCACAGCAAACGCATTTTGATTTGTGCTCCCACAACAATGTGCTAATTAGCTCGACGGTTATAATGTGGCTAAAAAAAGGCAGTACTCAACACTTGAAAGGTTTCTTGATGTGTAAATTTGGAATCTCTTATTTGCTTAAATACTAAAATACTATTTAGCTACACATCAAGATTACAAAATTCCTTTTGAAAACAGTTATAGTTCTATAAGAAGATCATTGATTGTATGAAAAAAAATCTTTGATCTTTAATCCAAGTAGGTTTATATCTATGTTTCTTTTATATTTCTAAAATTGTGAATACATACATTTCCGAATTTTCTTTCCCCTTTGTCACACCTGTGGCATTTAATACTTGGTGGTTCCTCATTTGTTTCCCGTGAATGTTTTTTATTTTGTCATGGTCTTACTCCAGATTCTTTAAGGTTATTTCTATCTTCCAGT